AACTCAGCTATAGCCTTTGCCATCTCACTGGTCGTTTCCGGCTTAGGGGACTCTTCAAAAGTCTTTCTTTGTCTTTGTCCCTCTTCCCCGCCATCTTTTTGCTGTTTGTTTACTTTTGGAAAGTTTTTAAAAGTCTCTGAATATGCGCTTGACTGCTTAGCTCGATTGGGCAAGTACTTCTGGGCAATTTAATCACATTTCTCTTCTGCTCCCCCCCCTCTCAACAGTTTATGCGCATGGGAGGCGTTCCCCCCCCCCCGCTCGCTTTTCCCGTTCCACGGAGTAGGGCAGGGAGCATCTTTTCTTTAAAAAATCGTTTCCCAGTTGACTCACGTTCATAGTTGGCCTTCCGACCATGCTTCTTTCATCATTTTTCACGCCCGATCTCCTGCACTTGACCTGGTTAGTTTCACTTGTACCATTCGGTCTCTCAGCTGGAAGAACCACTGGAGCAAAGGGGAGCCTCAATTCTCTGGCATTCCACCATCGAAGAGGCTACCCCCTCAGCGCTTCTTGGCCAGGGCCCCTTCGCCGGGCCCCTGGGGGGGGTTACGAGCCTGCTCGCCCCCTCCTTCCGCCGGAGCACGGAGACACCTCCGGGAGGACCAGGAGGTGAGTCCGCAAGCATGCTGCCATCAACCAGAAGTTGTTGTTAGATCTTCAGAGGAACTGGTTGGCCACTGTGTGAGACAGGATGCTGAACTAGATGGACCATGGGTCTGATCCAGCAGAGTTCTTCTACATGATGATTGGCAAGATGATACATCCTCCATTCTAACTGGGGAAGTATCAAAGAAGTTATGTTGCTAGCTTTTAACAACTGAGCATAACTTGTTTCCTGGGTCAATAATCCCATGAATGCATGTATGGAATTGAAGAACTGAGGCAGTCTATGAAGTTTGGGAGTAACTGCTGTAAATAGAAGCAGAGTCTTATTCAGGAGACCCTGAATATGAATTACTGAACAGAGCAAGATGGTATGAAACAAGAGGTTAACTAGGATATTTAACAGCAGTACAGTATGTGATGGCCTTTGATCACTCATGTCTGTAAGTATTCATTTTTAAAATTTATTTAGAAAATGTATGTACTGCCCCTCCAAAGACCTGCTCAAGGTTGAACCAATAAAATGTTAAGAAACAGCATAAAAATATTAACATTAGAACCAGCAATAAAACAAGCAGCAAGACTGCAAGAGAAATAAAACGTAAGAACAATATTCAGTGGCATTAAAAGACAATTTTAGCAAGGAACATAAAATAGTACCGTATTTATAACAGACCACAAACTAAAAGAAGGTCATAAAAACATCTTTAAAAGATGCATGGTCCTTCAATTGAAGGTCTGGGTACAGAGAAATATTTTGGCTTGGTACCTGAAAGATAATAAAGCCTTCAACCTAAGGAACAGGCTGGAGAGGAGGGTCAACTGGTATGCCGCACAGTATGGAATAAGGCAGTCCTTCAAGTTAAAGTGTTGAAGCAATAATTGGAATTGTGCCTGGAATCAAACAGGGAGCCAGTGCAGATCTGTCAGCACAGGAGTGGTGCAGTGTGTGTAATGTATTCATCTCCGACCGTGTGCGAGGCTGTCTCCATGCGGTCATGCGAAGCTTCTGAGCTTCGCTCCCAGAGACAATGGCCCAAGCGGATCCTAGCCCGCGCCAATCAGAGGGCTAGGCTCCCGGCAGAGAGCCCATGGAACTCTTGGCCACTGTAAATAGCCTATCACTAGTGTGTGTGTGGGGGGGAGTTTTGGGTGTGGGATTGTTGCACATATAAGCCGGCCTGCGAACCAGGAAAAGTTGTCTTGTTCTTTCCTGAAGTAAAGTATGAGAGCTGAAATCACTAGTAAGTCTCAGTACTTTTCACAGTGTATCCAGTCCCAACAACAGCCTCACTGGCACATTTTGGAGCAGCTGAAGTTTCTGGATAGAAACATTTCTAAAAGTAGCCCCAACTCAAGCACATTACAGAAATCTAACCTGGATATGATCAGACCATGGATCCTTGGAGCCAGATAATGATTTTCAAGGAATGACTGTAGGTGAGCTATCAACCAAATATGATGAAAGGCACCAATGTGCCAATGGGGAGAACTGAGCCTCCCACCTTAAGCCCAGATCCAACAGCATCCCCAAACTATGAAACTTCTCCTTCAGGAGTGCAACCCCCTCTAACACAGGCTGGCTCCTCAGACCTCAAGTGGCTTTTGGTTATTGAGCAGCAGCACCTCCATCTGCTCTGGACTCACCATCAGTTTATCGGCACTCATCCATCCCATTACTTTCCATAAGCATTTGTTCAGGACTTCATAGAGAAATACTGAGTTGAGTGCTGCTGTTTTGGGGGTGTTTAGGTGGTGTTTTGGTTCATATTATGCTATGGTTCAGCGATCCTTACTCCATGGCTTGCAGAGAGCCATATTTGCAATCACCATCAACCAAAAGAGCCACATGACTACTGTATGTTTTGTATACCACCTCCAAATACACACATACAATAATATGAGGTGCAACTATTAAATATAAAGCTTTGACTGCATCTACATGATTTTCCGGGTCATTTTACTTCCACCCCTAGTTTGCAGCCTGCAGCTCACCCATCTTCCAGCAGTGGCTGTTTCAAAGTGGGAACCACCTGGCAGTCACAAGCCACACTAGGAGATGGCCTTGTCCACCTTCCTGAAACATGGTTCAAGTGCTACATTGAGCAATGGTGCTCAGAACAGCCACAGGTGGCTCCCGAGCCACTGAATGAGTATCTCTGCTGAAGATGCTATAGCCCAGTGATGGTGAACCTTTTAGAGACCGAGTGCCCAAACTGCAACCCAAAAACCACTTATTTATCGCAAAGTGCCAACACGGCAATTTAACCTGAATACTGAGGTTTTACTTTAGAAAAAACAACTCATACATTAACTTAAGATGATCCAAACAAAGTAAGGAAAGCAATCCCAAATGCTTTCATTTAGTTAAAATTATTTGGCAGAGAATTTGACACTTTAATGATGGTCTGGGCCTGGCTGGGGCGATGGCACGCGTGCCCACAGAGAGGGCTCTGAGTGCCACCTCTGGCACCCGTGCCATAGGTTCGCCACCACTGCTATAGCCTGATGATCTGCTACTTTTTCTGCATGACACATTGGCACTGGACCCATTCCAGTCCGGTTTCCACCCTGGCTGTGGGACGGAGATGACATTGGTCACCCTCACAGATGATCTCCACAGGCAATTGGATTGAGGCAAGTCGGAGTTGCTGCTGCTTCTTGATCTTACAGCAGGATTTGACACGGTTGATCACAATCTTTTGACCCACCATCTTACCGACATAGGAGTTCATGGGGTAGTCTTGAAGTGACTTACCTCATTTCTCCAAGGTCAGAGACAGAAAGTGGCGCAAGGGGAGAGGGTGTCTCCCAGGCACCCATTGGTGTGTGGAGTCCCTCGGAGCAATCCTCTCCCCGATGTTGTTTAACATCTGCATGTGCCCCCTTGCCTAACTGTTGCAGAGTTTAGGGCTAGGGTGCCATCAGTATGCTGATGACACCCAGCTATATCTGTTGAAGGGTGGCTGGCTGGATGTTGCTGCCCAACTGTTTTGGCTGAGGGACTAGGCCATGGTGAGATGGTTGAAACAGAGGTGGCTGAGACTGAATCCAGCTAAAACGGAGATTCTGTGGCTGGGCAGAGAGGATTCAGGATTGGGGTCCCAACTCCCAGCTCTTGACAGTATGCCCTTAACGCCAGAACCAGCTGTTGAGAGCTTGGGTGTGATTCTGGATGCCTCCTTATCAATGGAGGCCCAGATTACAAATGTTGCCAGGCTGGCATTTTTCCAGCTACGCCAGGTCAGGCAACTGGCTCCCTACCTGTCCTACCCTGACCTTGCCACAATAATCCATGCAATGGTCAGCTCCAGACTGGATTACTGTAATTCACTCCATGTGGGCCTACCCTTGAGACTGACCCAGAAGCTTCAGCAGGTCAAGAATGCAGTGGTGTGGGTCCTCACAGAGACCCTCCAATCAGTGCATATTTGACCTGTGCTGTATGAGCTGCATTGGTTACCAGTTGAGCACCGGATCAAGTTCAAGGTTTTGGTGCTTACCTTTAAGCCCCTTAATGGTCTGGGACCCATGTATCTTTGGGGCTGCCTCTCTTGGTATACCCCTTGAAGAGCATTGTATGGAGCTGATAAGAACTCGCTTGTGGTCCCTGGCCCAAGAGATATCCAGCTGTCCTCGACCAGGGCCTTTAGTGCTCTGGCCCCAACCTGATGGAACTCTCTGCCGAGTAAAATCCGTGCCCTGCGGGACTTGTTACAGTTTCACAGGACCTGTAAGGCGCAAATGTTCCACCAGGCGTTTGGCTGAGGACAGCAACAGTGTCTACCTGGATGGCACTGTCAACCCCCCCCCCCCAGCAAGGCGGTAGCACAATTGGTATGGGAAACCTGGCTACATCAGAATTATTTTTTAAAAAAAACTTAATGGGGACAACATTAACAGCTGTCTTTTCTAGAACTATTTAGTTCAAATTAGTGGGCTCTTGCCCCTAGGCAAAGCATCCAGGGGAAATTGTAAAGTGAGCACCATTATACTTATTCAGTTTTTAATTTGCATTTGAATCTGTAGAATAGCTGTCCCAGGCTAGGAAATGGTTTTCTTTATTCAGATTGTCATCCTACAGACTCCACCAATAGTGATGATGATGTTCTTTAAAAACCCAAAGGTCAGAAAAGTACAAAGGGCTGCACCTAGCTAGTAATTTGAGCAGTGGCTCAGCTCTAAAACCTGTTTTCAGTGTTCTCACCTGGCACATGTGAATACAGAATGAAACTCCCTATTATATGAGTAACAGAGTAACTTCTGGCTTGGACAAGTAGGCTTCCAGGCAGGTTTGATTCCTAACCGTACCAGCTCTCTTTCTAGAAATATGACTGCGCCATCCTGCATGAAACATAGGTTTGGAGGAAAAGGCACATAACCACTGAGGATGCATAATAGCCATTTAAAATGTGTATACATGCCAGCTCCTTGCCCGTGATCAGACCTTATGTGAAGCAGCTGCACCTCTTTGTATGCTACTCAGACAACCCCCCCCCCCCCTTTTGGGCACACACACACAGTTTAATACAGTGCACATTAGCACCTGTACACGGAGAGGCAGAGAGCTGCCACTCTGAAAATTTAAACAGTTACCACAGGCACTCAGGACTGACTGACATCATTATGTTTTAATCAGGGAGAAACACAAGTAGATTTATTTATTAAATGTATATTTCATCACACCTTCATTCAATGATGCCCAAAGCAGTATACAGCTCAGCATTACGTCTCCAGAAGGAGCCAGTTACCTTTAGATCCTGACAATCAGGGCATAAGAGTGATGGCCTTTCCCTGTAGTTTGTCCCCAGCAGCTGATATTTATGAGAGACATTTACACTGCACATAAAGGTTCAGTTTTGTTATCATTGGTTCATAGCCACTAGCTTATGTTCCATGATTTTAGAACAAGAAAAAGGTACATGTCCCAGCTGCCTTTGACATGGGGAATGTAAGATTTGGAGCCATAGACACAATCTAAACAAAAGTGCCACTGCTACATGACAGCAAAATTAGTAGTAACCATGTTCCCACAGAAACACCAGAAAATAGGACTCAGGATTGCTGAATCTTCTCTACTTACAAAGAAGGCATTTCAGGAAGTGTAACAGTTCTCCCCCCAGTATGCTAAACTGCATCTGCTGCTAGCATTACCTCTTCCTTATTAAAGGTACAGGAGTCTGGGCTTCCTTTGTATCTGCTCCCCCTAGACTCAGTTTCTCAGCATGTTTGCCCTATACTCAAGCTAGGGCTACATTTTTAGGCCCTTCACAGTGAATCCTAATTCTTTCCTGGGAATAAGTCCAATAATAAACCTCAGTAGGATTCTCAGTAGACTTGTTAACAATTGCTCTTTGAAATTGGCAGCTCAAGGCTGCAGTCCACAGCATAAGGTATGGGAAGGGTAACATTCTGATAAGCCTACACCAACGTTGAGAGGCCACCTTATTCTAAAATCTTATCAGTATCTGCTTTTATACTGCCAGCTCTTCGTGACGCCAAACCAGTGTTTTACCACAATCCTCGGCTTGATCCGTTTTAACTAGAGGCCAGCCAACAGGGCTTCTGATTAAAACAAAACCAGCCCTCCCCTATTGTGGCTGGAATCCTATGCACCTTTCCTTTGGAGTAAGCGCCATTGAACAGAGTGGGAGTGGCTTCTAAGTAAACACGCAGAGAATGGGGTTGCTGTGCTTTGCTTCCATATGTGAGTCATTTGTGTTTGTGTCCCCCCCCCCCCCCCTGGCCGCCCCAAGATGCGCACACGCCCAGGATGGGTGGTCGTGCAGGTTATATAAGAAGGGGCAGGTCACTCCCTCCTACATGAATAATCGTTCCTAATAGGAACAGCGCTTCTTCCCCTTCAACGGAGCCACTTGTTTGCCTCACGGCCTACGACAGCTCTGCAACAGAAAGGTGGAGCGAACCATTCTCCGTGCAAAAGCGGGGGGAGGAAGAAATTTCTGTCGCAGGCTTTTCCCTGGACTACAGCAGCTCTCTTCGCGTACTGGTCTCCTCGTGCACTAACTCTCCTTGGCATCCGCTGCACCGGGAGACAAACGAAGGCGGGGGCGAAAAGATATATAGATATAGATATATTACCCCGCGTTGGAAAGGTCTGTATGTGTGCTGGCGCGAGGGCCCTCCTCTCTTTCCGCGAATCTCTTTGGTGCCCGCCTTGAGCGAGTAGCGAGCGAGCTTTTTGGGCAGCTGGCGCGAGAAGACTCACGCGCGAGCCCTCTTTAGCCTGCAGCGGCCGCTGTTTTGCTGTTGCGAAAGGCGGCGACGGGGGGGGAGGGGGGGGGGCGGAGAAGAAGTAGGGAGGCGCGCGCGAGAGAGAGAGGGAGCAACGGGCAGCTGTGCTGTGGGGTTTGGGGGGCTCGCGCGCCGTCGTGCGCGCGCAGGAGGGGGCAGGTAAGCGCGATTCGGGGTGCGAGAGCCCCAGCGGTGGTGCTGATGGAGGGAAAGGGAGGATGGCGGGGAAGGGAGAGGGGTGACTTGAGCTCATCGCGGCGGCGAGCCAGTGAAGGGAGAATTTCTTCCCGCCAAAACGGGGGAGGCGAAGGGTCCGGGTAGCGGGGAGGGAACTGCTGCGGTGGCCTCCTGACAGTGCTGGGAAAGGGGCGGTTGGGGTGGTGTGGAGCGGGTTCCCGCTACGGGGAGGAGATGAATGAGGGAAAAGGGGAGGAAAATCCGTGTGTGGGGGGTATCCATATATTTCGGTTTGCTGATCTTGCCATGTCCCACCCCCTTTCCTCCCCCTTTCAGAGTTCGCCTTGAGAACAACGCTTAGGAGCTCCGAGCGGTTCTTCCGCAGCCAGCAACAACATGACCCGCGATTTCAAACCCGGGGACTTGATCTTCGCCAAGATGAAAGGCTATCCCCATTGGCCAGCCCGGGTAAGGCTCTACCTCCTGCCTTCACCTACCCTGCGGTCTGCTTTGCCTTGTTTTTACAGAGACACACATTTTCTCTGCGCCTGGAAGCCAGCCTTTTGTGGCATCCTCCTGAAACCTCTTTTGCCCCCTTTTCTTAACAGGAACGGCCTTCGGAAGTGGCCCAGCTCTTGATCTCCAGCTTGTATTTTGGTTCTTAATTCAGGCCAGCAAAGAGAGAGGGGCGTGTTTGTGCTGGTGAAAATGACTTCTAAATCCCTGTATGGATGCCCACCTAGGCGTTTTTGCCTTTTTGATATTTTAGTAGGGTTGGTTTTTTATCACTTCTCACAAGCAAGCAGCCACCTCTCTCCAGTGCTTGTGTTCATTGTTACATAGTGCTTTTTAATATTTAGTACAAGAGGCCTCAAACTTTTGCCAAAATCAAGGGAGTTGTTGATGACAAACCTGCATTGCTGTAAATTCAGAGGCTAGAGGAATGTTGGAAATGTTTTTAAATTATAAGAGGCCTAACCGTTGCCAACTAGGAAATTAAAAAATTAGATGATTATATATACAGTATGGCAGATTAACTTTTATCCAAACCCATATAAATTCATTCTATTACAAATAGTTACTCTTAACTACAGGATTTTAAAAAGGTGATCATATAATGGCACACAAATTTAGATCAGAGCATAGATTATCATAATTTTATACACCCACCTTGTAATCACATTTTACATTCTTTGTAGATTACAGTTTAAGAGTAAAGGATGCTCCGGTGTTTCAAAGTGTATATGTTTTTCTCTCCTGATTCTTCTGTACTAAGTCTCCA